GCTGAAGGCTTTTAACTACAGTTTGTGGACTTCCTGATAGTAAAGAATTACAATAGTCCAGCCTTGGTTTGTCAATAAAGCTTAATGTTTGCTTCCAGAGACACTAGAGTAGCTCTTCTTATCAGAACCGGTCCAGAACTGTTCCAGTAAGGGCCCAGAATCATCAGCAGTCCAAAGAACCGGTCCTCCAACAATCCAGAACCGGCCCAATACCGGTCCAGAACAGGGCCATCTCTACCAGTGGGAGGTTCTGGACCTACAGCTGGGTTGGGTTGATGGGTTCTGATTCTCATGGTGTGGTGAATGTTTGGGGTTTTGGGCAGAACCAGAACCTGCAGCTACTGAGCATGCTCCGTGTTTCTACAGGTGCAGATGCCCCGCCCACTCCAACACTTTCCACCAAGGTAGGCTGATCCTCGGCCCACAGCTTCACCAGAACCAGTTCAGAAGCAGCTGGTTGCAGTGGAAGGATCATTCAGAAGGTCCGGGTCCTGGACCTGCTCTACAGAACTCAGGTTCTGATCGGGGTGTAACTTTTGTGTCCAGGTGTGGGAGGGGCCAGCTGCTCCGGCAGGAAGACGGACTACGCCTTCGAGGTAACGCTGATCGGACCTCTGACTGGACCCGCTCCAGAACCAGGATCTGATTCCTCTGCTCTGTTTTCATCAGATGGCCAGTTCCAACATCCGATACGGACCCGGAGTCAGCAGAGAAATCGGCATGGTAACGACCTTCATCCCCCCATCATCATCATCATCACTGTACTGCTAGCTGAGAAAAGGTCCAGACGGGTCCAGTTCTGAGCAGACTGGCCCGGCAGCAGAGGTGGGACCAGTGGACACCAGCAGGAGGCGCCGTTAGAGAGAAATTATTCTACATTTAGATCAGAGATTTCCTGGAAAAAGATTCAAATAAAAGTTATTCTAGATAAAATGTTAGAAGTGAAGATGGTCAAATTCTAGAAGCTGAAGTAAAATAAAAGGATCAAAGATCAGATCATAATCTGGACTGGATTATTTTTAATCTGGAAAGTTTAGCATGAGCTGCAGGTCTACAGAAGAACCGCCGGGTTAGATCCTTGGAAGAGCCGGACCTCGTCTATGTGTTGTGGTTCTATGCTCTAACTAATGTGATTAAAGTTTCCCATTAAAACTGTTCTTTATGGTTTGGACCCAGACCTGCTGATGCTAGCTCCTAGCCATATGTTTGATAGCAATGTTTGCATGACACCGTTTTAGCGTCTGACTGACATCATCGACTGTAAGCCAATGAGGAGCTGATCCTTCACAATAAGAGCATACCACATGTCAGATTTTAGGGTGACAGCCGTCCACGGAGCTCTAGCTGCTTAGAAACAACTCCTGTCCCCCCCCCCCATGTCTCCCATTAAGCCCAGTTTGCTGATCCTGGGTCTGTTTTCAGGACCTGCAGAACCTTGGAGCCAAAAACGTGTGCCTGATGACCGACCAGAACCTCGCCCGCCTCCCTCCTATGAAGGCCGTCCTCGAGTCTTTGACCGCCAACAAAATCACCTTCAAAGTCTTTGACAACATCCGAGTAGAGCCTACAGACTCCAGGTAAGACAGGGGGAGGAGCCTAAGGTGGCCTCCAGGTGTGAAATAAGGGGGAGGAGCCTAAGGTGGCCTCCAGGTGTGAAATAAGGGGGAGGAGCCTAAGGTGGCCTCCAGGTGTGATCTAACAGGTAGGACTCTATAATTTTTTTCCCCTCCAGTTTCAAGGAGGCCATCTCCTTTGCTAAGAAGGACTCGTTCGACGTGTTTGTGGCGGTGGGCGGCGGCTCGGTGATGGACACCTGTAAGGCTGCCAACCTGTATTCCTGTCATCCTGAAGCTGACTTCTTGGACTTCGTCAACGCTCCGATCGGAAAAGGCCGACCAGTGACCAAAGCTCTGAAGCCGCTGATCGCAGGTCATCTTGTCACCTTAGAGTCCTGCTGCCCTCAGTCTCAGGCCTGCTCACCTGGTTTGGGTTTTTCTCTTCAGTTCCGACAACCGCCGGCACCGGGAGCGAGACCACTGGGGTGGCCATCTTTGACTACGAGCCGCTGAAGGCTAAAACCGGTGAGAGGCAGCCGCGCTTCCTGTCTGATACCTCTCTGCTCCTGCCTCCATTCACATTCGCCTCTATAGTG